ACATCTATACCCACTAATCTCACCAACCATAGACAAGGATTGGTCTAAAGCTTTCAAAAGAGAGAAATTGAGACCTTTCCTCCAAAATATCCACAATCTACCATTTTCAGAATATTCATGATTTGAATAACTATCACAATCCGAAGAATAACAATCAATCACTCTACTCATATTAATAGTCCTCACCCTAGTCTCCATAAGGCAAATAATATCCATATTTAACTTGCCAAATCTCGAGAACACCTGCACTTGCTTCAGAGGGTTATTAAACCTCTGACATTCCAAAAACAAACAATCATTGAGCATGAATAACCTCCCCCCAACAGCTCCTATAGCAACTCCCATATACTCTTTCTTTTTTCTTTTCATTTCATTCAAAATGGCAACAACACCCATAGAAGTAACTCGGGGCTTCCTAGCACCTTCCATACCAATAGCTGCTAGTAGGACCTCAAAACGATTGAAGAAACCAACTAGCTATTTTTTATCTTTACCTTTCCCTTTAGCCTTCTTTTTCTGAGAAAAAGCTTGCAGGACAGGCAAATCCACTGCAGCAGGAGCAGGCAAAGAAATAAAACCTTCAGTAAAATCAACTGGGTTTCACTAATGGCCTTAACTTCTTCTTTAATATCGCAAAATCAGGGCTAGTGTCTAAAGTGAGAATTTTGAATGTTTTGTGATTAATTTAGAAATCAGTTAAAAGTTCAGGGACTTAAGTAAGGAAATTTTAAGGATGGATTAAATAGCATAAATGGATGAATTAAAGGGGTATTTTGGTCTTTTATGCTTAAAGGATATTTTTTCCCTTTAAATAAGGGTTAAAAATGTGGGTTTGGGAGAATTCTTGAAGCCTTCTTCTTACTCTCTTCTTCTCATTCCCGTAGCTCAAGTTTAAAAGGTAAGTTTGATTTTATTGTTGAATTCTTGGATTTATAAGTGGGTTTTGATTATTTGAGTGTTATATAAGCTTAAGGAAAAGCTTATATGAACTTAAATCATCAAGTAAAGAGAATAAGAAGAGAAATTCTATTATGGGTTTAGAAATGAACTTTTGATATAAAGAGGTTTTTAAAGTTGTAATGAAGAATTTGATTTGTCAGTAGTTTATTTAAGAGATATGAAATGTTAAAATTGGATTTAGAACATGGTGAAATTTGAGTATGATTCTTGAAGCATATGTAGAGGATATGATTTGGAGATTTAAGATGTGATAATGAGTACAAATGGGCTTAAGTATGTGTGTTTTGAGTTTAGGATATGAAAGGGGTTGAAGTATGGCATAATCGAGTTAGAATGAAGTGATTTTCGTGCTAAAATGTAATTTCTGGGTTGTGTGCATCGATACACATTCAATGTGTACCAATGCACTCTTAACGAAATAAACATCGAATGAAATGAGTGCATCGATGCATAGGGAGTGCATCGATGCATAGGGAGTGCATCGATACACCCATTAAAATGGAAACATCGAATGTAAATTGTGTATCGATGCATGAGTAGTGCATCGATGCACCTGTTAAGGGATGCATCAATACATTGTAGAATGTACCGATGCACTTCAATGGGAAATGGAATAAATCTTTCTTTCAGTCTAAGAATTGATAGATTATAGTATATCAATTGGATACTGATAAGTATTAATACATGAATATGTAGACATCAATCGAAAGCAAAGTTCAGATAGGTCGTCAGACTAAGATACGCAAGAAAGAGAAAGAGATTGGTAGTGTTATTGGTGATCAGGTGAGTACATGATATGAAGTGTAGTTATGTTAAGGAATTATGACTTGCAAGAAGTCTAATTATGATATTAGGTAATATGAGTACCTAGATGTAAGCAAGTAGTGATATGATGTCCAGAGAAATTCGAGTCTATGCTTATGTTTAGATGTAATTACTTCTCTATGTTTGTGATCTAGGTGAATATGCCTTGTTGCATTACATGTTATGAGATATGTGTTGTATGATAGTGATATATGAGATATTAATAATAAGTCATAAGATTACATAAATATGTAATATAAGTTAAAATATAAGAAATAATATGTTATATGCATATGAGAAAAATGTATATGTGAACTATATGAAATGGGATAAAGAACTATGTGATTTGACCATGTGTGAAAAGGATGAATAATGTTTATTTCATGGAAAAATGCTACGTGAAAGTAAACTATGTGACTATGTGATCATATGAAATGTGATAAAGAGCTATGTGAAAGAACTATGTGATATGAATATGTGAATGTGTAATGAGGTAAAAGATAATGCCCATGTCATGTGTTATGAGAGCTATAGGTATATTTGGCATGCCAAAAGTCAAGGGTCTACGCGGTCCTTCGGGATATAGTGGTCCTTCGGGATAAATGTGTTACATGTGGTCATTCGGGACATCTAAGTGGTCATTCGGGACAAATTCTACGCACCCCTAGTGGGAATTATACGAGCTGTGGTGACAACATAGTGCACAACCTCTATGTACTCACATACCTTAAGTTCTTAGTAGTGTGTATGGGCTAACCAAAAAGATAACAATAAAATGTGAGTTGTAATGAGAAATGTGTTACATGTTTTATATGATGATATATGTGAATGTGTGTATATATTACAGGAAAGAATGTGTGTTATGGGTTATGTCATTTGTTATGTGATGTACATGAATATATGTTAATGTATATATATGAATAAATATCAATGACTCATATAATGATGTAAGAACATGTTATAAGATATAGAATATGAAAATAAGAGATCATGTGAACAAGAGATAAGAGATAGAAAGGATAATCATATAAGAGTATGAAAAAATAAAAATGATGACATGCATGTGTGTATGTAATTGTTACATGAAAAAGTATGTATACAAGTATGACGTTGTATTACATGATATGTGCATGCATTTGATAATTTACATATGTATTTATATGTCTCACTAAGTCTATGACTTAGCGTGTGAGTGTTTCACACGTAGGTTCAGGAAAACAGGAAGAGAAGCTAAGAGGATCAAGACATGTTAGTTTCTCCTTACCGAAGGTCAGATCAGAACCTAAATGAATAACATGTATTTTGTTATATAGAATCTAGTTGACATGCAGTTAAAAGATTTGTATTAGATACGCTCTGATCAGTTTTGAAAAATAATATGTTTTATATCATATAATTTGTAAATGGTTTTATTAGAAATATCAAACTGAATCTTGGATAATTTGTAAAAGTAAATGTTTTGAGAAGTCAATGTGACACCTCAGACTCGTATCCGGGTCGGGTACGGTTAAGGGTGTTACATCTTCCACCAGGTCCTCAACCACTTACTCAACTTGGGAGTTCACCCAGTTTTCTAGCCCTTCCCTAGCAGGATGGACAGGCTCTTGCAGAGCCTCAATTCCACCAACGATAGCAACTTTAGGTCTTTTATCCTCATATTTCTTCCTCCAGACCTGAACCACAGAAGGCTGAGGCTTAAGTATCTCTGCACAAGCTTTCTCACTATGCTCAAAGGCATTGCATCTAAGGCGGAGGCATCCAAGGGACCACAACTTGAATTGATATAGCAAGCCCATCTTGCAACATAATATCAATATATTTAGGGATCGAATCCCTCACCCCAATTTCAATGCAAACCTTTGCATACTCCAACCAAGTATTTGAAGCAGTCATAGAGTCCATAGACACGAGAATACCTAAAGCACTTGCAATATAGTTTAACCCAGCACGAGAGTAAAGCTCCAAAGGTACATTATAGAGCTGAATCCAAATAGGGATACGAGATAAATCAAAATCTAAATGCTTCATGTTCGGTTCTCAACTTCGCAAAATCAAAGGCTTGTTCTGAACATGCCATGGCCCATTTTCTAAAACCCAATTACGAGCAGATTCGAAACTAAATGAAAAAACAAACAAGTTGCTACCAGCTACACTGGCCTGAACTCCCGAACCCATAAGTGTCGTCTTCCACAAAGTATCAACGATTCGCTTCATAGACCCAAACGGTAGTGTTGGCCCAAGAAATTACCCCACCAAGGATAATTTCCACTCTGAAATACCAGCCTCGAAAACCACCAGAGGCGGCTGAACAGAAGGAGCCGAAAATCCTTCTCGAATCACTGGAGGAAAATACTCCAAGGTTTGTTCATAAGCACTCCCAAAAAGCTTCCTCCAATCCATCAAACCAGCATTCATAGTGAACAAAGAACAAGACGAGAGAAGCCGATAAAAAATCCTATGAAAAACCATCGAAGCCGCACCGGAGAACTCAGATCTCGTTAGCCCCGCTAACGTGCACCCAGAGAAAACCGTTAACGTGCGCCTCCTCCGATAGGTTAATAATTGATATGTTACCCCTAACTTAATTTGTTAATTTTGTCTTTATTATATTTTCGCATCTATTTAGCCATCAAAATTATTTAATTACATCATTTGATATGTTACCCCTAACTTAAAATCTTAAATTGATAACCTTAAACCCTAAATCATAACTTCATAACCTTTAAACCTTAATCTCTTACTTAAAACCCTCAATTTAGAGTTTTAAGTGAGGGATATGATATAAAATGATGCGGTTAAATTGATGCGAAGATATGATAAGGACGAAAATGATAAATTGAGTTTGATAAAAGTTACACTTTTACGTAATTTTTATAATTTAATTAAAACTAAAATTTATTACACGATAATGTGAGTAAAATAAAAATATTTTACATAAATAAAATATATTTTAGAAACCTATTAGGGCGATAACCCTCCTAAATTATAACTTAATTTGTTCTATTCAATACACTAGAATTTAAATTTATGATTTTATTTTAAAAAATTAATATCAATATTTCACTAAATCGATATTCTTATATTTAATTTCATTCCTCAAACAAGGGTGAAAAGGTAAACACAACATTTCCATCATTTCCTCCTCCAAAAATATAAATTGCATATTATTAGCCCACTAAGCCATCAAATGTAACTCGTTTCCTTTTACTACCCAACAACCAAAAACCAGAACTTGAAGGAATCGTTTACTCTTGTCTTGTTAGCAATTCTCTGAAAATCTTTTTTTCACCGAAGTTTGTTTATCTGATCAAACACCACCATGTGTGGAGGTGCTATCATCTCCGATTTCATAGCGCCGCCGGCGCTGTCATCGCGACGCTTGACGCTTGACTTCTTGTGGCCTGATCTGAAAAAATCCGGGATTAAGAAGGGTTCCGGTAAAAGGCACTCAAAGACGGTGATCAATTTGGATGATGATTTGGAGACTGACTTCCAGGAGTTTAAGGATGAAGAATCTGATGTAGACGTCTGTGATGTCGATGGTGTCTTGGCTGATGTCAAGCCATTTGTTTTCTCTGCTTCAAAGAAATCATCTTCTGCTGCCTCTCATGGTAAATAACTTGAATAACTCGGTTTGTATTTTTAGCTGAAATTTTGTTAAAAGCTTGTGTTCTTCTAGATATTTCTCAGGCCATATATTCCGTTTAATTTTTTATTTTAAGCTGAAAATAGGACATGAAAAATGAAAATTCTAGAGGTTAGATTATGAAATCTTAGCAATTTAAAGGTTCTTCAAGTTGAGTAATCAAAGGTCTATCTGGAATAATACTGAGATTTTCTGCAAACACATCAATTAATTGATATCTTCCCTTTTGTTAACTGCTGTTTGAGATCTTGATTTGTAGTAGATCATGTTGTCCATCTCCTGGAGGAGAAATCAAGTTTATTTAATTGATTTGGAAGAAATTCAATTCGATAATTGACGCAATGAGTAATGGTTTCTGGATGCAATAACTGAAGATTAATTTCTTTAATTCTGTTTCCTTGTGAAAATTTTGTTGTGATTTGTATAGATCTTCATTGACTAGTAACATTTATTTATGGTTCATGTATCTGTATGATTCTTAAAACTTTCCCTTTTCAATCATTGAAGATTTGAACTCCGGAAAAACCGCACAGTTCAACGGTCAAGCTGAGAAATGCGCGAAAAGGAAGAGGAAGAACCAGTTTCGCGGGATTCGGCAGCGTCCATGGGGTAAATGGGCTGCTGAAATCAGAGATCCAAGGAAAGGGGTTAGGGTCTGGTTAGGAACTTTCAATACTGCCGAAGAAGCTGCTAGAGCTTATGATGCTGAGGCGCGAAGAATTCGAGGTAAGAAAGCAAAGGTGAACTTCCCTGAGGAGACTCCTCGTGTCTCTATGAAGCGCTCAGCTAAGACAAATTCTCAGAAACCTGTCTCCAAGTCGAACGTGAGCCCTGTGCAGCCAAATCTGAACAAGAATTTCAATTACCTGAACAATCTCAAGCGGGAATACTTTGATACCACCATGGGTTTCATAGAAGAGAAGCCATCGATGAATCAATTTGCATACATGCACCCAGTTCCTACGTCTGTAGATGCTGGATTTAAACCGTTTAATCCATCTGATAATACCCCGGTGTATTTCAATTCCGACAAGGGAAGTAACTCCATCGATTGTTCTGATTATGGGTGGGGCGAACAGGGTTCTAAAACTCCCGAAATATCGTCCATTCTCAAAGCTTCCATAGAGGGTGATGAGTTCTTGGAGGATGCAAACTGTAATAAGAAGCTGAACCCAAGTTCCGACAATGTTATTCCTACAGAAGACAATTCGGGAAAGAGTTTATCCGATGAGCTATTGTCTTTGGACAATCAGATGAAGTACTTCCAAATGCCGCCGTTCCTCGACGGGAACTGGGATGCCTCAATGGATGCATTCCTCAATGGAGTCGCAACACAGGACGGCGGAAACCCGATGGATCTCTGGAGCTTTAATGACTTCCCTTCCATGCTAGGGGCCGCTTACTGAGCAAACCCTAAACCCAACTTGCTAGTAACATGTCAGTGAGTTTCACAATAGCAAACATTATTTTCGTTTTTGCTTGAACAAAATGTTGTTTTATTTACATCTGTTGGTTGTTTTACTTTTGTCTCAGGAATTTGGTCATAAATGTGGTGTGAAGCCGAAGTAAAAGCCTTGCCTGCAGTGCTTGCGGAGACTATGTTCTATCTTTTAATGACTATAAGTGGTTTATGTGTGAAATTTTATAATGAGAACATATGAATGTTTTAAATCTTTGCTCTATGTTTCTCTTTACTCTCTGAGATCTTAATTTTTTGTTTGGATAGACGGAAAATACGTATAATCCATTTTCATCTTTTAGTAATTATTTCATAGAAAAGGGACTAAAACAACAATTAGACCATTTTCACTTTAATAAATTAAACACCTCAATCCCAATGAGAGAGGCCATTTTATGTTATAAATTTTGGTCATCATACGGCGGCGTATATGCAAATATGTCGTGGTGTGGCAGCACACAACAGAGGCACGTGAAGTCATATGGCTTAGCAATGCAATGTGCAGTTGCATTGGACATTGTTCATCCTGAAACTATAAAAAGAAATTCCCAGTCTGCTGCTCTGTTTTCTAGCTTGCAGGTGACTACTGTGGAGCATGGCAAATTCATTGTCGACATGGTCACACCTTCTCTGATGGTAATCGTGGAGAAATGTGCGATGGTAATGGACCAATGGCGGGGTCGACTTTTTATGCTGATATAACAGTTAATAATTTATTTAGTAGGATAAAATATTTTATTTTTTAATCTTATTAGGACTCAAATTTTAATAGTATAAAAAATATAAATTAGATTAAAAAAACATATAATATTTATATTTAAGTTAATCAATAAATTAAATTGAGATACCTATCACCATTGTAGGGTTTTAAGGGTGTCGATAACCCGCAACCCACGAAAGGATGAGCATAACCTCTACATATGATGGATTTTGATTTAATCTAGTTTTATAAATTTAGATTTTCTAAAAGATTTGATTTTAAGAGGAAAAACATTTAATTTAAAATGATTGATATAATTAGTATTTATATATTTAAAGATAATTATGATAATATTATATTTTATATTTTTTAATTATACGATTAGATTTTTATTTTACTTAATAAAATATTATAATATATATGCCAAGTTAAATAAAACACATGTTTTTTGTCATAAAAATTGAATAAATTTTTAGTAGAATGAAAATTTTCTAAAATTTGAATCGGATCAAATGACAAATAGAGAGAGAGAATATTTCAATTGAATTTGAGTCGGTCACTATTTATTACTTTTCTTAACAAGACATTTTTAAAAAAATTAAAATTTAAAATAAAAAAATTTAATGAGACCAGAGAAATATTTTTTTGTGTAATTTATCTATTTTTACAAAGGGGTATCGTGATTTTGTGTATATAAATAAGATTGTCAGCAAAAATGAACCCAGCAGCACCAAGATCTGTAAAGGGATCTCGTGATTGCGAATGAAGTAAGAAATAAAGGATAAAGCTCAGAGGCAAGGCTAGGCATGCGTAATGTGCGCGATGGAACAAGTCCCCGAAATAGAAAGGGCTCCAAAAAATTTACAATGAAATTAATAGTATTACCGTAGATTATTAAACTATTGAAAAGGAGCAGAAAAAGCTTTGTTGAAAGGAAGATATGGGAAATACTAATAATTAGTATTATTCTACATCTGTAAAGCTTATTTCTTTTTTTTTTGTCTAACTCACTTTATGAAAAATGACCCCTCTTTAAAAATTTGCATAGGACCTCCAACGTTCTAACCCTGACCCTGAGAAAGCCAATATATTAAACATGAGATGAAAAGAAAATTGAAGAAAAAAATTAATTTTAATAATAAAATAATTTATTTTTTTTAAATATATAATAATATAATGTAGATAAATTATTTTTTCAACATGAGATGTGATTAACATATACTTATAATTTCAGATATATTGAAATATTCAAAAAAATTGAATATCAATTTGGAAAAAAAATTCATACTATAGATAGGGATGTGCAAATCCAGGTACCCAAAACTTTCGGATCGACGATTTCTCGGTCCGTATCTCGACTTGGATGTTACGGGTACCCGGATTTTACGGGTACCCGATACCTAGTTTTTTATTTTTTATTTTCAAATTATTAATTTAAAAAAATATATACACAAATTTAAATGTTCGAAACTTCGAATTACATACTCTAATATCCAAACATAAAATTTAAAAGTTTGAAATAAAAAATATAATAATCCATAATATAAATAATTCATTATATTTTATATAATTATATATAAAAAAATAAAAACTAACCAAGTACTCATATAACCGAAAAAACTAGATTTTGTATCCCGGGCTCGACCCAGGAGATGTCGGGCTAGGTAAATTTTTTAGAGAATTACCCGGTTTTTTTAAATTCAAGTCGGCGAGTAGTCAACCGGGTCTGGTAATTTTGCACACCCCTAACTATAGGGATGAAAAGATAATATTAAATAATTCGAATACTAAATTAGAAAAAGAGTTCTAAATTGGAAGTGAATTAAAACGACATTCATAATTTTATGATGTGTGCTGTAATTTAACTTGTAATAGTACATTGAATTGTCAAAAATATATTAGAAAATTAATTTTGTTTCCAACAAAAAGTAAAAAATTTAATAACGGAAGCATAGATCTAAAAATATATTCGAATTCCATGGCGACACCACAAATCCACTGCAATTCTACCGATTTATATTAAAAGTTTGCAGAGAGGGCAAATACAATAAGATGGAACAAAAGCATAGATCTCGAATTCTAGACATCGAAAAACTGAGAAGAAAACAAATCTAAGCCCTCTCACCTCGAATCCTCCTAGCAAGCTGGATATCCTTAGGCATAATCGTAACCCTTTTAGCATGAATTGCACACAAGTTGGTATCCTCAAACAGACCGACGAGATAAGCCTCGGCAGCTTCTTGAAGGGCGGCGACGGCGCTGCTTTGGAACCTCAGATCAGTCTTGAAATCTTGAGCGATTTCCCTGACAAGCCTCTGAAACGGAAGCTTTCGGATCAGGAGCTCAGTGCTCTTCTGGTATTTCCTGATTTCCCGCAGAGCAACAGTTCCAGGTCTGAAACGGTGAGGCTTCTTCACTCCTCCGGTCGCCGGAGCCGACTTCCTAGCTGCCTTCGTGGCGAGCTGCTTGCGTGGTGCTTTGCCGCCGGTTGATTTCCTGGCAGTTTGCTTGGTACGAGCCATCAGTATGATAATTTGATGAGAGAGAAGTGGAGTTTGGATTACAAGAAAGAGATAGTAATTTGAAGGGAAGTCTTGATGGCGGGTTAGATGCAAGGCTTTGCAGGGAATATATAGAAATAGGAACTGGGAGAAGCGGGAATTATGGGCTAAACTCTCGAGATAACGTTCTCGAATAAATTAATTCACGAGATAATGCACTCCTCAGATTAATTGTTCAAATAGGGTGAAATTTACAGTGTTGTCGTAGGTCGCCATGCCATCCGGGCGACCTACTAGGTCGCCATGTCTTCCCGGCGAGTTATAAGAGAGATTGCATGTGTCATGCACGTTCCAACACATTGGGCATCCGAAGCCATCCGACCGAGGGCATCCGATCGAGGCCATTCGAGCGAGCTATGCGAGGGCATCCGAGGGCAAGAGGAATCACGCGAGGAGCAGGAGGAGTGCATGGCGACCTACAAGGTCGCCAGGAGTGCATGGCGACCTACAAGGTCGCCCGGAGTGCATGGCGACCTATGCTGGGAAGCTGCCACGCCGTAGGTCGCCCGAAAGGCATGGCGACCTACGGCCAACACTGTGTAATTCGCCTTATTTGAACAATTAATCTTGGGAGTACGTTATATCGTTAAATAAAAAATTCGAGAACATTATCTCGAAAATTTTACCGGAATTATGTAGTCATGGAAAATTTAAAAGGGACAAATACAAACCGTAGATTAAAAGGGTCATCAACGGCGCCTAAGTTGTTGAAATCGGGATCCATGTGCGACGAAAATTGTCCAATAGGATTCGTTCTTTTCAGCGGCATTTTAACACTAATTTTAAACAAAAAAATTAAAATTTCGCTCGATTTTTAAAACATTAAAGTTTTATAAACAAATCAAAGTATCAATTTTATGGAAAAAAATAAAGGTAGGATGAATAAATAAAAAAATATTTTCAACATACAACTACACGGATTATAAGTTTACTTTATAATTAAAAAATATTATCAAATAATTATAATTAAATTTCAGAAATATTCCATTGTACGTAAATTATTATACTTTCGAAAATATTCTTCAATAAGCAACAACTTTGTCTATCAAAACTGCTGGATGAAATACTTTTTATACTAATCAAAATCTTTAGGGTGCGTTTGATTCATAAAATGTAAAATTATAGTGTTTGATTAAAAAAATAAAAAATTATTGGAATGTGTATTTTACCAACTTGTCTTTATTATATACTTGTTTTTTAACAAGTTGAATTCTACTATAATTAATTTATATATTTTCTTTTAAATTTTTAAATTCATAAAATTTATATAATTTTAAATTCTAATTATGGACTTTTTTGTAAATATAAAATAATTAAAGGATAAATTTGTAATTTAACCTTCGTAGAAATTTTATTATTTATCGAAAGAATAAAAATATTTGGGGGGGGGAATTTAAGAGCATTTTAGTTCAAAACACCGGTAATCTAACAATACCTAACGGTGCGTTTGATTCATGGAATGTAAGATTACCAGTTGGATTAAAATATTACCAGGGAATATGATTACTGGGAATATTACATTATTGTGTTTGGTTGGTTTGGCATGAATGTAAAATTACAGTGTTTGGTTGAAGAAATAAAAGATTATTAGAATGTATATTTTACCAAATTCTCCTTGTTCTATATTTTTTAACAACTGAAATTCTAAATATTTAAATAAAATTATTTACATAAAAATTCTATTTGTTGATAATATATTACTTGAGTATTTAAATATATCATGTATTATTTTAATTTTAATTAATATTAAATTTTACATAATTGATGTAAAAATATATTAAAATTTTACATCAATATTTAACTAAATGTTTACATTGTGAAAATTCTTCATAGATATTCATAATAATAAAAATATGTAAATTATTATTGTTATCTAATAAATAATTTTTATTATATCTTATATATTTAATAATTTATTTATTTATTTATCTTTTATATTTATACTTAATTC